GTTTTACTTAATGAAATGGACTATTATTACATTTGTAATTGGTCTGTAGTAATTTATTTCAATATTCAAGTTTAGACCTTGTGGTTTTTTTTTTGTATTGCAAGTATTTTATTTAAATAAACTTGAATGAGTTTATTTCTTTATTCTATAGTATATGAAATTTAACATATATTTTCAATTATACTTTATGATTAATTATCCACAACTTTTTAAATTAAAATTTCAATTTTGACCTAATTACTTTCAAAGAATATGAATTACATTAGCGGTTAAGCAGTTTATGTTATAGTAAAAAAATTCATAAATAAATGGGATTATTATAAAATATACACATACAAAATACATATGTTGTCATCACCATCAATGCCACAAAAGTATTTTCTCGTTTTATTTTATTGTGTTGAAAATCATCTTCAATTACAGCATAGACCATAGCAAAAATAGGTTATCGGATATATTGATGTAGAAGAATTTATTATAAGCAGAATGTGTGAATCAAAAAGAGAGGACTTGAATTGATACAATTTGAACAATAAATTAAAGTAGTAAATTTATTTATATGAATGATTATATTATATATGTTATTACATTTATATTAATTAAACTATTCAAAAATATAAACTATTTTATTCAAATTAAAACAAAAATTAAAGTTTAAATTTAAAATATTTAAAGAAAATTATAGACTTATTCAACAACACGTGGATCGGTCCTTTATGCCCAGAAACCTAGGAAATTAAAAATTAAAATTCGTGTTTAATCTGATTTTTAAATATTATATAAATAGTATTATATAAATAAATACAAATATTATATAAATATATATTTTTTTGAATATAGCACTATTGCTTTTAAACTCAATTTTAAAGTTTTTGGAAAAAAAAAATAGATCCAACCCTTTTGAGCAATAACATTAGTTATTATTAGATTAAATATGGCTGCCTTATTCTTCATCAGATTCAAAGATATAACTCTTCGCAATTGGTTGCAGCTCAATTGAGCCTCCCTATGTAACATATTATTTTTACACATTTTATTATATATCGATATAGATTAAATAAAAAATGTTAACAGTTTCAGTGAAATTTGAGTTTTTATTTATATCGTGAAGATTTATATAAAGCTAAAGTAAAACTTTAGTATGTATGTATATATGTCTTAATTTTATACCAATTTTGGTTAATTTATAGACTTTTCAGTTTGGTTTAATTTCACTTGAATAGTGGAGTCATGTCTTATACATCGTTTGTATGCTGACCACTGCGGTCTTTTCGGGAATCCTTTTGGTCTGCGTATATATAACGCAAATTCGTGGTATCACAATGTACTATTATTTCAGTTTAAATCGGCATTAGGTATCAATCCTCTATTCCAACCTAATCTAACCGAAACCTACCAGTTCTAAATAATATAAAGTAAAACTTTAGTATGTATCTATAACTTGTTTAATTGTTTTGAAGTTTTTAAAGAAATAAAAAAACAAGTTTTTAGATTCATTCACATGTATTATGTATAGAATTTACGCTACTGTAAAACGATATGTAACTTGTTTTTTTTTTTGCTTTAAAATATTTTATGTGATTTATATACAATGATACCTACATATATCTTAAAACTTAGTCAATTTGTCATACTTTTTATGTTGAATTTTTCGACTTTAGTAATAAGCCTTTTTCATATTTATAATAGCATATTTTTAATTTTTATATAAGTATCTGTATAATTCAATAGTATGTATGTATGTAAATATATAGAAATAAATATATTATTTATATGAATTAATAATTCTTATACAAACTTTTGACTTATATTAATTCCTTGTCTTTGTTTTTTAAAATCTCTACTATTTTTTTAAAACGTTATTTTAATTTTAATTGACTTGGAGTAAAGGCAAGCTATCATCTATATTCCATGCTGCATGCACTCATATGCCCACTATTAAATACTAATCAAAATTCCTTGCAATTCTATTTGTGGTTCTTAAGTGTAAATAAACTGATATGGTTGAGTGTGTGGTTCAGTGTAAGTTATTATCTTTTGTTGCAACTTATATACATTAATAAATATATAAAGTTAGACATTTTTTCACTGCATTATTGCACTCACTTCATATTTAAAGTAGAAAAAAATTTTAATTTGCCTTGTATAAGCATTGCTCATTCGTTTGTGTCTAGTGAATATTTTACTTCCTCGTTGTTAAGATACATGTTAAGTTTGTGCCTTGCATGCCACATAGCGCGATTTGATATCAGTTTTTGCGCACGTTACGCCTACCCTCGTCTATCTATACGAAGTTGTCTTAATTCTTGAACAATCTCATGTGGTGGCTTATGCTTTATTATTTTCTATTCGAGGGTTTAACTGATATATACATATGCATAGTGCATAATATAATATATATCTGCAAATGAAGTTTCTGGTATTAATATTTTAGTTAAAAAAAAATCAGTTTTATTGGTAGAATTTGAAGCTCAGCTCTCTGTTTAAGCTAAGCTCTTGTTAAATGCATAGCATGTGCACATGCAATTAGTGTTAAACCGTTGTCAAAGATACGACAAACCTGCGATATGTGAATTTCATTTAAATGTAAAATAGAATTAAATAATATTAGAATTAAATTTAAATCAATTACTTGGTTATAAAAATTTTCGCAGTTTCTAAATGTATTGCATAAACATTGTAATAAGATTAATATATAAGAAAAACAAAACGTGGTATAGTGCAGTAAGATCACAAAAAGAGTTTATATTAAGGCTATTTATTATCATATAAAATATTAATCTTCTGAATTCGCAGATAATTTGAAATTTTTTTCGTTAATGTATCTATTTCCATAAACTTGTTTTCTATCAAGAATAAATAAAAATAAAAAATTTAATTTGATTATAAGAATTTTAAATAAAATTAAGGTAAAGTAATGTGAAGTTTCCTAGGCATTTTTTGCACTGCACTTATATAAATATTTATTTATTGCACTTATTTAATATTTTTGGTTAAAAGTTTTTAAATTTATTTATTTATTTATTAAACATCTTATAAAATTTACACAATGCTAACACCTAATTTACCTATTTTTAACTAATTTACCCTACTCGAAATTCTGGTAAATACCAACATTCGCTGCCATACCGACATAATTTACTATTTCCCTCTATTTACTCGAACTCATACACGGCCTTATTACTTATTATATAAAATATTTAATATTCTTAAGTTTTGTTCTAAAAAAAAATGCTTTCAATAAAATGAAAGTGAGAGTATGTTAGTCAGAGTAAGAAAGCAAAATAACTTTCTTTGATAAGCAAAATACGAAAACAAAAGAAAAAAATTTTCTTATCTAGAACATACTTTCGCATTACAAACTGCGTCTTTTCTGTTGTTTTCGCGTATCTTTTAAATTATATTTTATTTATTTTGAACTGCCGTATCTAAAATTTTATCGTTATTCGTTTTTATATAGAATAAACAACAAATCAATTTGTTTACAACTTAAACATATAGCTTAAACAAACTACTAACAGCGGATGATAACTACTAACTATATCATTTCTAATCATGTACATTTCATGGTAATAGTTTTTTTGTGATATCTTTAGGTTTCAATTTTAACTAAAATTATAGATATAAAAAAAAGAAATGCTTTATTTATAATGCTTCTTATCTTTGAGATATTTTCATATTTCTGTTGCAGATATGTGTTTGTGTTACTATTAATGGTGTGTATTAATGCACATTGTTTTATATTGATTTTTTATATTAATTTACGTTTAGAAAAAAATCATTGATTACCTAGAATGTAATTTATATGCGGATGCGTTAAACACAAATTATTCATTTTTTAATTTTATTGCAATGATTTTCCGGTGAAACCTTTTATGGTTAATTTCCATATGTTATGAGTTTCATTACTGATCAATTCTGAGAGTGTAAGCCATAATATATTTTTATTTTTATTTATTTTTGTAGCTATTTCCTTATTTTTTATGTGTTTATCTTATATCGTTTACATAAATTATTTATACTTCGATAAAGAAATTATAGATAATTACGAGAGAAGATAATT